TAAAGCCACATAGCCCAATATGCCTGATGAGCCGCTTAACCAACGGCGAAACGCGTCGCATAATGGTGGGTACGTAGGTTCTTCTCCTGGCTTTCCTTTTCATTGCAAAACTTAGATCATCAAGCTCGACTCGAAAGAGTATAAATAACCACTTAAAATTACTTTCAAATGATCACTGCCCTTACAAGGCAAAATTTAAATAACAAATATTTTTTTCTATATATTTTTATAGATTTTGTCGATAGATGTTATCGATAATTATTCTTATCGATTTTTTTCATATTTTTTTATTGAAAAATGTTGATAACACATTTTCGATAACATTTTTCTCAAAATGTTATTGAAACTGTTTCACTTTCGTTTTAGCATTTCGATAATTTTTTTCGATTTTTCCCCAATAATTTTTTTACAGATTTTTTCCGACATTTTTTTTGAATTTCTCTAAATTTTTTTTGCATTTTTTTAAATACCTACTTATTTATTATAATACTTTTTATATATCATTTAATGGAGTTTGAAACGGTTACGCTTTAGTTTTAGCATTTCGATAAATTTTTTATTGCTTTTGCCCCAATAATTTTTTATCGATTTTTTTTTCATATATTTTTTGGAATTTCTCTATTTATACCCTTCACCACTCTGTGGTACAGGGTATTATGTCTTTGTGCATATGTTTGTAACAGGCAAAAGGAAACGAGATAGACACATGGTTCCTTTTGAGAATATGCATAGAATCACTTTCTGAGTCGATTTATGCATGTCCGTCCGTCCGTCCGTCTGTCTGTCGATGTAAAATTGTAAACAAAGTACAGGTCGCATTTATAATCCGAATTGGATGAAATTTAGCATAGGTCACTTATTTGGCCCAAGGACGAACCCTATTGAAATTGGGAAAAATCGGTTCAGATTTAGATATAGCTCCCATATATATATTTAACCGATTTAATGTAAACGGCCCCTATATATCTTTCGATTTGCACGAAATTTGGTACAGCCTAATCATTTAGGTCTAGAATGATGTCTGCCAAGTTTCGTAAAAATCGGTTCAGATTTAGATATAGCTCCCATATATATATTTAACCGATTTAATGTAAACGGTCCCTATATATCTTTCGATTTGCACGAAATTTGGTACAGCCTAATCGTTTAGGTCTAGAATGATGTCTGCCAAGTTTCGTAAAAATCGGTCCAGATTTACATATAGCTCCCATATATAGTTTCGTCCGATTTCATGTAAATGGTGCCCCAAAGTCCCTATATATCTTTTGATTTGCACGAAATTTGGCATAAGTACTGAATTCAGCCTAGAGTGATGTCTGCCAAGTTTCGAGGAAATCGGTCCAGATTTAGATATAGCTCCCATATATAGTTTCGTCCGATTTCATGCAAATGGTGCCCCAAAGTCCCTATATATCTTTCGATTTGCACGAAAATTGGTACAGCCTAATCATTTAGGTCTAGAATGATGTCTGCCAAGTTTCGAGGAAATCGGTTCAGATTTAGATATAGCTCCCATATATAGGTTCGTCCGATTTAAGGTAAATTGGGCAACAAAGTCTCTCTACATCCTTCGATTTGCATGAAATTTGACATAGTGTACTGAATTAGGTGCAGAACGATGTGTGCCAAGTTTTGAGAAACTCGGTTCAGATTTAGATACAGCTCCCATATATAGTTTCGTCCGATTTAAGGTAAATGAGGCTCCAAAGTCCCTCTATATCTTTCGATTTGCATGAAGTTTGGCACAGAGTACTGAATTAGGTCCAGAACGATGTGTGCCACGTTTCGAGAAAATCGGTTCAGATTTAGATATAGCTCCCATATATAGGTTCGTCCGATTTAAGGTAAATGGGGCACCAAAGTCCCTATATATGATTCGATTTGCACGAAATTTGGCATAAAGTACTGAATTAGATCCAGAATGATGTGTGCTAAGTTTCGAGAAAATCGGTTCAGATTTAGATATAGCTCCCTTATATAGTTTCGTCCGATTTAAAGTAAATGGTGCACCAAAGTCCCTATATATCATTCGATTTGCTCGAAATTCGGCATAGAGTACTGAATTAGGTCCAGAATGATGTGTGCCAAGTTTCGTGAAAATCGTTTAAGATTTAGATATAGCTTCCATATATATTTTCGTCCGATTTTAGGTAAATAGTGCACCAAAGCCGATGCGTGTTGAATTTCATGAAAATCGGTTCGGATTTAGATATTTCTCCCACATATATTTTCGTCCGACTTAATTAAATGGTATACCAAAGTCATTATATATCATTCTTTATCAAAGTCCCTAAAATTTGGAAAGTTTTGGTGAAATCGGCTCAAATTTTGATAGAGCTACCATATATATTATCTCCCGATTTTTAATAAATGATGCACCAAGATCCTTAAATGTTTCTGATATGCATACTGAAATTAGTATAACATAACCTGGGACAAGTTCCGATGAAATCGGTTTAGATTTTGATATAGCTTTTTTATTTCCGTCCGATTTTAAATTAAGTAACTAAATTTTTGCAACATATGCTAATGTTGGAAAAATTTAGTATAGGTTGCAGAATGACATGTTTATGGATCCAATTTCATTTTACTTGTCCTTCAAAAATGCGACAACTCTTAGGATTCATCGGTTGAATATACCCAAAGTGGTGAAGGGTATCATATAGTCGGCCCCGTCCGACTTTACTACTTTCCTTACTGGTTTTTTTTTGCTTTTTTGAAATACCTACTTATTTATTATAATATTTTTTATATAATTTTTAATGGTGTGTTGACTTACCTTTATTGATATGGATGTCCTTGACTTTATTTTTTGAAAATTTCGATATTTTCCAAAATTGTTTTTTTTTAATCTCAGAGTTGAAATGTATTTATTCTCGGTGTAATATTTAACAGCAATGGACGATTTGTTGATTACTTGTTTGTTGGATAAGTTTGGGCCAAAAAAAAGACAATTTTGAATATCCTTTTTTTCAGAGTTAATTTATTTGATTTTTGTTTTTTTATTTTAATGCAGTAAAATGTTTTTTTTCTTTATTTTTAATATTTTTGGTTTTTTTATGAGACATTCATTTATATCATAGTTTTTATAATTAATATCTTAGAATATATTTTGGTTTTTTTTTTGAGATAATTATAATAATTTATGAATTGTTTTGTTTTTTGCACACAAAATGTTCACGAGATGTGGGTATTTCTTTTAGTTTTTTTTTTTTATTTTTCTGGGGGGAAATTTTGAAGATTTCCAAAAAGGTGAGATTTTTCTTTATTTTTCTCTTCTTGCCAAAATTGTGAATTTTGGATTTGATATTTTTTTCAAATATTTTTCTTTTTATTTCTTCTTTGAAAAAAGTTCTGGGTTTGGAGCCTTTGAGTGTTTTTTTTTCTACTTGGCTTTTTATTTTCAAAATTGTTTTTTGGGTTCCCAAAAATTTGGAACTAGAAATTTGATTGTTCTCACGTTTTTTGGTATTCACGTGTTTTTTTTCTTTTCTTTTTGTTTGGTATTCAGACGTTGCTTTTCAAAATGTTTTTTTTAGATTTTTCGCTTTCGAGTGTTGTTGGTTTTTGTTTGCCTTTGCTTTTTGTTCAGAACACTGTGCTGTGCTGATTTTGACGTGTTGTTTTAAAGAAACATTTTTTGTTTTTGTTGTTTTGACGTTGAAACGAAATCGTAAAAATTAGAAAAAATTATTGATTTTTTTTTTTCAAAATATTATTTTTCACCGAATATTTCACCATGAGACCGGAATTCAGGATTTAGTTTCCTTTTTTTTGAGAATTGAAAATTCGTTGTGAGTTCCTGGTGATTATCCTGACGGGGGGGTATATGAGGAGTATAGGGACGAGTCGTACAAAAAATGTTTTTCAAAAAAAATTTCGACACTATTGCTTTCTCTCGTAAAATTTAACAAATTTTGTCTATTTTTTCTGCGTTTTTGTTTTTTTTTTCTGTTACAGTTTTGAATTTTGATGGTTTTATTTCTTTGGATTTTTATTTTTTCTGACGGAGGTTAGAGGGAGGGTGAGTTCCTTTTGTTTTTTGTTGGCGGTGAGTTTCCTTTGTTTTTTTGGATTTGGCTATTTCGATTCGGTTTTTTGTTTTCTATTTAAGGTTGTTGTTTTTGTTAACTATTTTACTGCATAAAATTTTGAAATCGATTTTTTTTGGTTCTGGGGAGTCCGAAATATTAGATTTTCTTTAAGTTGCGTTACTATTATTTTTGTTGTTGTTGTATTTGTTTTTTTGTTATTATTTTGTTGTTGTTGTTGTTGTTGCTTCAGTTGGGGGGTGTTTTTGTTGAGAAGGGGGAGGTTTTTTGGTCGGTTTATTTTTTTAAATTATTTTTTTATTATATTTAATTATTTATTGTTGTTGCTTTTGTTATTGAGGAGGAGAAGGGGAGTTTTGTTGTTGTTGCTTGTTTGGTTGGTTTTTTGTTTTATTTCGTTATTTGTTGTTGTTACTGTTGTGTTACTTTTGTTGCTTATTTGTTGTTTTATTGTTACGGTTTATTGTTGTGTTATTGTTGTTGCTGTTGTTGTTGTTGGTTTTGTTATTGCTGCTGGGGGTTCCTTATTTTTTGTTGCTTTTTTGTTATTGTAGTTATATTTTTATTTATTTTTGTTGTAGTTGCTGTAGTTGATTTTTGAGTTGAGTTTTGTTGTTGTTGCTGGTTTCCAAATTTTGTTGTTTGTTGTTGTAAATTTTGTTTGTTAAATTTTGAGAAATCAAACTAAAAACTTCTTTTTTGGTGGTTATTTTTGTTGTTGTAATTTTTGAACTAAAAAATTAAAGTTGTTGTTGCTATTATTTTTGTCGTTATGTTTTAGAAACTAAAAAGTTATTATTTTTTTTTTTTTTGGTTTTTTCGGAACTTAAAAACAAAATTGCACTTTTGTCCTGTTGCTGGTTTTTTGTTGCAGGAGAGTTCTTCCGAAGGGTTTTTTGTTGTTTGTTTGTTTGTTTCGACTGGGAATTTCGGTATTTTGGGTGGTTGTTGTGGTTTAGTTTTTAGTTTTTTTTTGTTTGTTATTATTATTTATTTAATAAAATAAAACAAATATTAATAAGTATATCAACAACGTTTTAACGTAAGTTTTTAAAAAATGTTCCAAACAGTCAAAAAGCACCTGGAAAGGGGAAGAAGAGAAGAAAAAATAGAAAACATTTTATTAAATTTTTGGTTATTTATTTTTTATTATTTCAAACAGAAACATAAAAATATAATAAAAAAAATTAAAAAGAAAAAAATAAATTAAAAAAAAAATAAAGAAAGCTTAGCAATTCTTCGGAGCGTAACTTAGATAGGGCCCTTATTTTAAATTTAATTTTTTGACAGTAATTTCCCCAAAATATTTTCAGAATTATTATTATTATTATTTATTTTTAAGATTTTTTTTCGAATAATCGAATGAAAATACTTTAAAACACTGCTACAAATATTTTTATTTAATTTTGTTATTGATGAGACCTTAAAAATATTTTCATCCAAACCCAAGCCTCTTGTTACCCATTTAAAAATATTTTTTTTAAATATCGACGCATTTTTTGGCCATTGAAACGAATTTAAAAAAAAATATACGCCAACAGGAGCCCTATAAAATATATCTTTAAAGCCGACTTTTGTTACGGCTTAAAGAATATTATTAAAAAGTCACACTTGCTGTGACTGTCGAAACAATATTTAACAAAAAGAAATCCACGTTTTTAAGGTGGACCAGTTGAGGACATAGAAAAAATATTTTTAGAGAATCCGCCTGTTGAGGACATAGAAAAAGTATTTTTAAAAAAATCCCACCTATTGAAAAAATAACCCCCTAAAAATACTTTTAAAAAATCCACCCTTATTGTTGGCCCTCTAAAAACATTAAAAAAACCCAGTAAGGAAAGCAGGAAACCTTCACCACATTGGGTATATTCTACATATGTATCCTTACAATTGAATGTCAATATGTCCTCGAAGGAACATACTCATGTCCTTCTGCAACCTATGATAAATTTAACATGGTTCGGCGAGAGTGTATTATTGCTTTGTGTCATACTCAGCTGTTGTTGGTATGTCATAATTTTTCATCGATTTGCCTCGGCTTAGCTCATCGTCCTCACTCGACCATGCACAATGGTATATCAAAAAACAAAAACATTAAAGAGTCTCGATAGCGATACAGATGCTCGATGTTGTTGTTGTGGGTACCCCAGATGGTGCGTGGGTACCTTGAGCCCTCCCACGGATTTCTTCAAAATCCCCATGGGGAACAATTTATGGAAAACGATTTATATCAAAATTTATACACGCTCTTCGGTGTTAAAAATTTAATTTCAATCAGACACCCGTTCAAAATACATATACGTCATACAAACAATAACGTCATTTAAGTCTCAATTTGATACGTTGTGCAAAATCGTTTTAATCGGACAAACATTAGGAGTTTGGAGCACCACTTATGTAAAATCGGAGGAATACATATGTGGGAGCTATATCGAAATCTGAACCGATTTTCATGAAACTTAACACACATCATTCTAGACTCAATTCAGTACGCTATGTCAAATTTCACGAACCTCAATATACCGAAAATTAGGGGTACCCTTATATGGAGGCTATCCGAAAAAATGAACCTATATTTATAATTTTTTGTGGAGAGATGTGGTACCTATTAACAACTCAAAATACTAAATTACAGCCAATTCGGTGGAAAATATGATTAAAACCCCCAAAATACTGAAAATTAGGAGGTACCGTTATATAGGGGCTACCAGAAAAAGTGGACCTCTCTTCATTATTTTTTGTGGAGACACTTAGTACCCAAAAAGAACTCAATGTACCAAATTTCAGCGTATTCGGTTGAAAAACGCGCTCAAGAACCCCAAAATATCGAAAATTGAGGGGTACTATTATATGGGAGCTATGCCTAAACGTGGTTCGATATATCCCATCTTCGAACTTGACCTGCCTGCAGACAAAAGTCAAACCTATGCCAAATTTCAGCACCCTATCTCAATTCCTTCAGAAGAGAACGTGATTACAACAGACGGACGGACATGGCTAGATCGTCTTAAAATTTTACCCTGACCAATAATATATATACTTTATAGGGTCGGAAATGAATATTTCGATGAGTTACAAACGGAATGACAATGATTAGTATACCCTCCATACTATGGTGGAGGTTAAAAAATTAACAACTCCTGCAAACTTTCTAAAAATATTTATAAAAAATATCTAAGCTCTTCTGCACTCCTTGACATACACTTTTAAAAAACCCAGACATTTTAAAGACCCAGAAATTTTTTTTTTTTAATAATTAACACCTATTTCGGGCCTTTAAAAAATATTTTTATACCCTTCACCACACTGTGGTACAGGATATTTTATCTTTGTGCATGTGTTTGTAACAGGCAAAAGGAAACGAGATAGACACATGGTTTCTTTTGAGAATATGCATAGAATCACTTTCTGAGTCGATTTATGCATGTCCGTCTGTCCGTCCGTCCGTCTGTAGATGTTAAATTGTAAACAAAGTACAGGTCGCATTTATGATCCGATTTGGATGAAATTTGGCACAAGTCACTTATTTGGCCCAAGGATGAACCCTATTAAAATTGGTGAAAATCAAAGTCCCTATATATCTTTCGATTTGCACGAAATGTGGCACAGCGTACTGAATTAGGCCTAGAATGATGTGTGCCAAATTTTGTGAAAATCGGTTCAGATTTAGATATAGCTCCCATATATATTTTCATCCGATTTAATGTAAATGGTGTTCCAAAGTCCCTATATATCTTACGATTTGCACGAAATTTGGCACAACGTAATGGCTTGGGCCCAGAATGATGTGTGCTAAGTTTCGAGAAAATCGGTTCAGATTTAGATATAGCTTCCATATATATTATCGTCCGATTTTAGGTAAATAGTGCACTAAATCCCTATATATCCTTTGATATGCACGAAATTTGGCATAACGTACTGAATTAAGTCTAGAACGATGTGTGTTGAATTTCGAGAAAATCGCTTCAGATTTAGATATAGCTCCCATATATATTTTCGTCCGATTTTAGGTAAATGGTGCACCAAAGCCCCTATATATCTTTCGATTTGCACGAAATTTGGCACAACGTAATGAATTAGGTCCAGAATGATGTTTGTCAACTTTTGTGAAAATCGCTTCAGATTTAGATATAGCTCCCATATATATTTTCGTCCGATTTTAGGTAAATGGTGCACCAAAACCCCTATGTATCTTTCGATTTGCACGAAATTTGGCATGTCGTACTGAATCAAGCCTAGAATGATGCGTGTTAAGTTTCGAGAAAATCGGGTCAGATTTAGATATAGATCACATATATATACATCCTTCGATTTGCACGGGATTTGGAATAGCGTACTGGATTGAGTTTAGAATGATGTGTGGTAAGTTTCGGAAAAATCGGTTCAGATTTCGATATAGCTCTCACATATACATATATAATCGTCCGATTTTAGATAAATGGTGCACCAAATTCCTAATGTTTATCCGATTAACACGAAATTTTGAACAACGTATCAAATTGAGACTTGAATGACGTTATTGCGTTTTGTTGAAATTGGCACAGAAGCGTTCATAGCTTTCATATGTATTTCGAAAAGGTGTCTGATTGCAATTAAATTTTTTGAAATTCGGCGTACCGAATGGCGTGTATCAAATTTCCTATAAATCGTATTCCATAAATTTGTTCCATGTTACGCAGACAACTATAAATCTGCCCGAATGAAATTAAATTTATCATAGGTTGCAGAATGACATGAGTATGTTCCTTCGAGGGAACAATTCCATGTAATTGTAAGAGTACATATGTACAATATACCCAAAGTGGTGAAGGGTGTCATATAGTCGGCCCAGTTCGACTTTACTACTTTCTTTACTGGTTATAATCGCAAGGCCATGTATGTCTATATATAGCTTCTAGTTATTGGTCCCGTCTCTATTCGATATTTTGCAATATGGTATTATTGGAGTTTTTGTTCAGGTTGAAAACATCCTTGCAGGAAACTTTCGATATAGAACCACTTTTGGATATAACCTCCATATGAAGGTTCCCACATCATTTTTTCTAGGCCGCATTTTCCAAATCGAAATGGCTGTTGTTTGGCATTACTAGTCCTTGGGGACTGCAAAACATCATAGCCCAATTTTGTTTTTTTGTTTTTCTAAATAGATCAATGATTTTACACAGCTGCCATATAAAGGTTCCGCCCCCATTGTAGGTGTTTAGCTCCCAAATTAAGATATTACATTTTAGTGAATTTAGAACCGACCGACGTTCCCTGGCCCAGTTTTCAAACCGGAAGGTTTGCAATTTGGTGTTTAGATATAAATGTCCATATATAAAAGAACTTCGAATTGTCACAATAGACATTTGGGTATGAAACGTTTTTTTTTTTTTTGTAAAGAAGCAATAAATAGCTTCTGGGGAGAATAGCCCAACAAAAAACTAAGGGAACTGATGAGGATCAGTGGCGAGATCCGAAACTATAGTCTTCCCTGCCATACCCCTCGGCGGACAATGCCATACATTCCCCACTAATAAATAGTTGTTTTATATAAAAACAACAAGCTGGGAATCAGCCTAACTATTTTGCAAAAATAAAATACAAATGGTATCCCAAATAACCCGCCAACAATACTAAATATATTTTTCGGTGAATCTGTATTTCAACAAAATGAGATACTAGTTTTTCCAATGTTTATAAAAATCCAAAAATATTTTTATAAAATTTTGTTCTAATATTTTTTTATAAGATACGATATTTTTTTTTAAATATTTAATTATTCAAAAAAAAAATATTTTTATTTATATTTGTTGATCTATTCATTCAAAAAATATTTTTTTTTTTTAAATTTTTTTTTTCGTAATTTTTTTTAGAATTCATTATATTGCACTTCAAAAATAATTATACCCTTCACCACACTGTGGTACAGGGTATTATGTCTTTGTGCATATGTTTGTAACAGGCAAAAGGAAACGAGATAGACACATGGTTCCTTTTGAGAATATGCATAGAATCACTTTTTAAGTCGATTTATGCATGTCCGTCCGTCCGTCTGTCCGTCTGTTGGTGTTAAATTGTAAACAAAGTACAGGTCGCATT